AACGAAACGAAGGAAAAACATTCCACCAGTTGAAAATGGACTTGTATATGCTCAAAAACACACTACATTACTATTCTTAGGACATCTGTATGGGATTGCAAGTTTCTGTACTGGTTGACTGACCGTCAAAATTACATTTGATTTTGTGTTAATTTCCGAATCGAGAACAAATGCTAATCTAAGATTAGCTGCCCGTCTCACACTTATCCCTTTGATACTGTTATTATTAACACTGTGCGGACGTAATAATTATTGCTCTTAAAAATGTTGCACAGAGAGCGATTTTGTTGAAATATTCCATGCTGAAAATTCCACACTGAATCATGCATATTGTTTGGAATAAAAAGAATATTAGTATTACTCTTATTGATACACACGTATCACAGATCACCGGGAAAGCTCAACTCAATGCGTAAATGCGAACTATCGCGACATTTACGTTTTTACTTTGTACATATGATTTTTTATAGAATAACGTTAAAGTCTTCCACTGTATTGCTCATTCCAGTTACCAGAACATTTCTGAACTCATCCGTAGGTGTATATAATCATCATCGAGCTATCTGATCTCCGTACATTAAATTCTGTTTAGAAACGACGGGACCTTATCAGGAAACAGTCCCCTGCAATGGAACAGCTTCCATTCATCCAGAAATGTTACCTAGGCATTTTACAGCCCATCGGTCATCATTGTATTCGGTTGCTGAATATACAGTTGAGGCCAAATACAAATGTTATATTCGGTCACTAGTGATGTCATCAACTAATTTTTAGCATGGTGTGTTACTAATGGAATAAACAGGAACTTAGAAACAATACATACATTTTAGTACTTGAAAGGTTGATGATTAGCAAATAGGATGATGCGTATAGAGTTAGTACCTCTAAGGAAAAAGTCAAATTTCCAAATCTCCCACGATACAAATAGGTAAATAACTGTGTAGTGACAACATCTAAAGTAATCCTAATAGAAAACGTTTCATAGCAGTACCTGAGATGCTCTGAGGCTAGAAGTCATTACAACGAAGTATTTTTATACGTTATTCGGGCACACAGTAAAACTCTAGCAGAACTTAATTAAAAGACCTTGATGATAGAAAAACTCATGTAACTACCGGGAAAAGAACCTGAGATTAATAAAAATAGAAACATTTCTGGTGAAAAATGATGCACGAAATATACGAATTAAAGTTTGGTTAAGTAACCGAACAAAAACGCTTATCACAATCACTCAATTGACCTTTATCAAAACGTTTTGCATGCAGACGATTAATATCATGGAAATACTTGTAAAGGCAGCAGCTACAAGAAAGTACCGGTAGCATAGAACGAAAATTCAATGGAATTATCTTTTGTTTTATGCCGAGCTACAGGTGTGCAAATCGAACATTCATCTATGATGAACAATTCATCTTTCAAGGTCATCAGAGAATGTTTAGGAAATGTGGAACACCACTGCAAACTACATGTTTATTTATTCTAACTCAGGACACTATCCGCAAGGTGAAAACTGTTTATTTAGCTGAAAACAACAATGCTGTCCCTCCATAGCGCTTCCTCTTTCTTTCTCGTTATATCCGAGTTAGCTAGCAGTATTACGTATTCAATATGGATAGATTAAAAGAGTATTGATGGACGTGCAAATTGTTGAAGCTCAAGACAATTATTCCGTAGTCACTGTAGTCAAGGTATACAAAAGGCTCTTTAAACTGTATGAAGATCGACTGCAATATAACACATCAATAGCGGTTATGCACAAAACAGGCCGTAGTGTTTTACATTGTTCTCATCCAAAGATTTGAGTCCATAAATGGAAGTTTCAAGTGTGACGAACACCGAGAACCGTCGATCAATTCTCAAAAACGGTAACTAATTCAAATAAATAAAGTAGCAGTTAAGATTCTTAGTTCAAAAGAGCAACAAAACTCGTTCCTCTAATAGGAGAACAAAGTCACAATTCTAGATAACTTTCAGTTTTATCAACTTATTCATTGTTCCACTCATGATGCAACTATGTAGCGAAGGTATGGGGTGTAGCTGAAGAATTTAAAGTTTTTCTCAAAGCGTTTTACTCATCGCAGCGATCATCTCCTGAAATTCATTTACACACCAATCTTTCTCTGCCGCAATATAGCTAAACTTCGAATTTTTCGTTCTTCTCTGCTCAATAAATTTCAAGAAATTGCCTACTGTTGCCTATCACTGGTATCCATTCCTTCTCTTTGGTCTAGTTAGTAGTCTGAACCTCGGTTCACCTTCCGAGGTTTCTGCAACTAGTCACTATCCCAAGCACTCATACCATAAATGTTTCAAGTTGTCTGCCCAAGGGCTGGTTAGACTTTCATTTTTATTGTGTCTCAGTCACCTCTGTTATCTCAATTACTCAGGGTTTGCGACAGTTTTCCAATACATTCTGGTGAATAAGTGCTCCCAGTAATATCTTGTAATACCTACTTTTTGTTGACTTTTGTAGCCTAGATTTGAGGTCTATTTGTCCTTTGCTACATTCCAGGCCACTAATTTTACATCTAATTTTACTCACCACTTCAGAAAAAAGAAGAAACTTATCTTCACTTTTAATTTTTACCAGAAGGTAACTTTGTGGTGCAAGTCCATGTTTTTCATTGCACAACTCAGAGAATACAAAGCACTTTTAGGAGAAGCAAAACAGTTACATCTTTTTTTAAATTTGACCTCACTTGCGTCATCCTTGCACTCAACGCATTGGGTATTTAACCATCCCCACAAATTAACATATTTCTCTATAAAAACCGCCCATTGCTTAAAACAAGTTTCAATCATTGATTGTCACAGACTGAGGTAACAAAAGTTAATAATAGTAACAATATGACTGTCTAACCTATGATAGGCTGCTTTTAGTTCCACTCTCTTTGACAAACGTTCCGAACATGATAAAATTTTGATGGAAGGTCTTCCCAGCTGATTTTGTCCAGAAATTTTATGCAGTAGGCAAAATGAACAATAATGATAGGGTAGCAGTTGTGGTCATAATAAATAAATAAATTTGTAGAAATGATTATTTAGGCAATGAGAATTTTTTCGAATTTATCTTAAGTCACAAATGCACAAATGCCCTCTACTCGAAATATGCGGGGGGAAAAACTGCATGAAAAGTATACAGTTACGTGTCCTATAGCAAATAGAAATGCCCTAAGCTTTTACCGTCTTCACTTTCTGAATATCTTGTTATTTTATACAGTATCCTTGATTACGGACAATTAGAGATCTGAGATTACCTGCAAAGATGTAGATACTTAGAGTGGAAAACAAAAATTGATAAACCTTTTTTCAGTTATCTTGACTGAAATCAGTCACTTGTCGGTAGACTTATTGGCTCAGATGCAATACTGAACAGCCTTGGTTACAAGTGATTATGGCAGCTATTCGAGGTTGATAACCATTGAAAACAACCAAGCACAATTTCTGTTGTTATTGCAAATTTATGCGTCTCCGACTGAAAAACACTAATACTTACTTCCTTTTTTGAGGTTTACCACAATGACTTGGATAGAAATAAACATGAGTGCTTCATCACAAAATTATCTCAGAGACCGGAAGGTTTATCAAATGGTGAATATCGTTTAGCACTCAAATAACGTGAAATATAGCTGTCACTACAATTCACTTTTCTCATTCAATTTTCTTATTTCCAGAGGTTTTGATTTTTGGGTGAAATTTATATCTGTGTGATTGATTCTTGGCGTTGATTGTAGCAGCAGCTTCCTTAGTTCTCGACCTGTGTATGTTTTCCAAACACATTTTAATTACTTAAACGTGTTAAGCAGCTGAATTTTCTTTTTAATAAAGGAACCTTTTTTATACTCACATGACTTCAATTTCATCTGGGTGGTATAGTTCTATTTTTATCGCAGTTATTGGACACAATTACAGACACCATCCCATCCTTTCTTTTTTATTGATATAAGTTCTTTTGTAGTGTGCAAGTTCACATCTGGTATAATTCTATATATATGCAAATATGGAGAGAAGGGCTGTTCGCATACTTCACTAAGAAGATTATAATAAGCAGTCTTGCACCGTAAATAATTATTTCTATGCAGCTTTCATTCGATTATATAATCATGTGAAAAGTTAAACTGAAATAGATAAGCGATACATACGTTAGCATTTCATTGCCATCGCTTCATTTTTCATAGTTTGTTTAATATGGTGTGTCTGGAAATACACCGAAATATTTTGATCATTTCAACTTCATATCGTATAAAATCAGGCCTTGGAAACACATAGTAGAAACATGAATGGTGTACAGAAACTTTTATATTCCTCAATTTGCCTTCGTCCTTGAAAGCTATCAGTTTAATTACTTAGTATCACTGAAAAGATTAATTTGTATCGAATCTTGCTGAAAAGAGAAAATGAAGTGACTAATTTCACTTGAAGTATTTACGTTTAAATATCCCACATTGAAAAAGGCTCACTTTTTATGCTCCTTTAAAAACCGAAACTCTAATCCAATTTTGTGTTGTTCAAGAAGAATATGTCAATTATTTATTGTTTTCATGTGTGCGAATAGAAGACTCTGATAGAAGAGATAGAATATTAAGTGACTACATATTTAAAACCATAGTTATCCAGTGTTTATTAAGTTACCCGTATTGTTCTAGTAGTGATGGATAACGGTTAGCAGTGGGATCAAGAAGGAGCGTTTCGTCCTGTTTGTTACTCCTCATTCGGATGTACCCGCTTCCCAGTGAGTGATCTTATCCTAACTAAGCCTAGGATCTCAAACACTAGAACGTTATCCATTAGGCCACCAAGTCACGATAATCCTTTAATTTCATGATAAAAAATAGTTTAAAACTACATTGTTCTTTTAAATTCCGATGCTGGTCCATGTCAGCTTCTTCAGCTGTGGTTTTTACAGCAGCTACGATTGTTCATATTTTCTGTATTGCTGAATTAAATTGATGGTCCGATTAATTAACGCGTGCTTATTTTATTTTGCAAACTGTTTATAGGTTTCAAAGAGCACCGGAGTAGATTTCAAACAACTCAGAGCTTGGAGTGCTTTCTATTGTGCTATATTCGGATTTATATTTGTCAGTTGCAATATGTCTGGTGTAGCCAATCATATAAGGCGATCAGTTGAGGAAGTCTACAATTCCTTCATTGGATTTTTCTTTCTGCTAAAGGCACTTTTTACAATGTTTTTAGTAAGTGATGATCATGATTTTACCCTTTAAATGCTCAGTCTCTGCATTCATGCTCTTAAATCAGAACTTCTTTTACCATAATGTTTGTTGTAAAGCTATCTACTTCAAAATAACTTTTGCGTGGTTCTGACGGTCAACTTAAATTCAAATAAACAAAGTATGTGCACCCTTTAGGAGTAAAGTTAAAAGATTACTGAGTAAAAATACAGTGTATTTACTCGATGACGGGTTCTTCAAATTGATGACATCTTGTCTTGCGGTTGTTGAAGTGAACGTAACAGTGATCATTTCAGAAACTCTTTAGTTCTTCAATGCTCGTTATAATTTTTCACCAGAAAAGAAGTATGATAACTTATCTACTTTTAAGATACATTATCAACAAGAGATTCTTTATGTTATGAATATATGCACAGATTAATTATGAAGAGAATCATAGAGGAAGAATATTTTAGGCATACATGATTGAATCAGTATGTAAGCAATTTGTTTTAAGTTACCGTTACTGCACACTTTAGCATTCCAGAACATGTAGAATTTCAAATTCTGAGTGAATGTTTAAAGTCCGTATAAAATGAGAAATGCCTCAAAACCATATTCGTTCCTTTGTTGTCTTCGATTTCGAAACTTTCGCTCCTTGATTAGATGTACATTTCTTGTTTTACCAGAAACGATGCTTAATGTTTGCAAATTATTCAACAAAAAATCAAAGGCGACTCAGCAAATTAAAAGTATGTTGAAGATATCATGAATGACAATTTCGTGAATAGAATGAATTAATGTAATGTATTTGTCTTATTCCCATCTGTATTATCTGAAAGTAACTTATTAAGAAAGATTAAATGCTGATATGCTTTGAAAATGGGACGCTTATAGTTCATAACCATGACAAATACAGAGAATAAAGAAAAACTTGCTAATTCTGTATGGTGAAAAAATAGGTTTATAATCCGTTTCAGCGATTTTGGAATAATTTTTACGGGAAACATAACTTTTGCAACAAAAAAATTTTTACCCCGAAAACTCATGGTTTCCCTTGGTCAACAGTTTTACTAACTGTGTGGAATATTTGTAGCTCACCTCTCAGTTAAATGGATAACTGAATCTGAATGGTCTTCTACGCTCATCAGAATTATCACAATTATCTAAACAAAAAGTATCAAATCTTTTCAGTTTAGTAACACTTAGACAACTAGCAGTACTCAGTATAATTGGTAACTCAGTATACTTTAAACCGATGAGTATTGATTTCAATTTGCATTGAAAAGAAACAGCTAACTGGAATGCTTATGTATTCATCTGATAAGTCTCGAACATGACGTAGTGTGTATCTGGGACTCCACTGCAATCCAGTATTCATAATGAGCACCATCCAATAATAGAATATATTTCCCACTTTCTGTCACATGAGTCAGGTGGTTATTGGATATTTTCAGTTTAAGCCAACAACGATAATCTTTTCCGTGTGAACTTTATGGGTGAACTTTAATATAGAGTTATTTGTGCTAGTTTTGTTCATTAACTAGTTTACTTCATCCACACTTTGCGTTAGGACTCGTAAAAGAGTTGTATTTACCTGTAAGCTATTGCAATTTCAGTCAGTAATTCACTTTTCATATAAACTTAGTCAAGTTATATAAATTAGTCATTTTTATTTACACATGTTTAGATATGTTGTCATAGCTGTTAACATTTCTGTTTAGAAGTTTAATTTACCTTACATTATATTCAATTAACTGGCTAAAACGGAACCGAAAAAAATGAAACAGATTCATTAACTTGTACGTCAATATAAAGCCAAAACATATAAAGTTATTAATCGTCTTCAAAAATCTCGATGTAAACTTAAGATCCAAAGTCAAAATTTCAGCCATAGTCTCCCTTCAAAATCTTTGAGGAAGGAATTTCATGCAGTTATCTTAAAAGTCATATTCTCCAGTAAACAATTAATCCATAAATGCTATAGGATAGAACACGACAATGTACATCTATCATTTCACTTACTCCAGTGGAACATGAAACACTGACCGCACATGGTATCACGTCTGTAAAAGCATTTCACTAATTTGGCTATCCAAACGAGAAGTTAAGAAATACGTCAACAGTTCTATTCTTGAACAGCTTAGCATGTCCAAACATCTGGCCCCTCCAAATAGCTGTTTCATAGCAACTTACACATTACCTCCCTAAAATTCCCATAAGCTTAGGCTGCATCATCTATGCGTAAGTGAATCAATGGTAACTTACAACTAAAGTTTACCATTGTGTTCAACAACATTAAGTGCAATCATCAGCCTTACCATTATCGTAATAGCAGCCTTCTTCTGTCTTTTTGTTTTTTTCTTTAATATAATCATAAAAAATTGACCTTATCGACCAGTATTATATTCTTATTTGTTTCCAATGATTTAAATGCTATTGTACAGAATTAGTAGGTGAAATCATCAAAACATTTCTTACTGTCACATCTTTGTTTTGAAAAGTTAAATAATCAAAACTTGTAAACATTCAAAAAGCAGGGTGAAATGGATATACTGTAGATAAAAATGTGGTATTACAATTAATTCAAGACAATTTTATGTGGTCAATGCGGAGAATATTTCGAGACTGTTTTAGGTCGGTTATCTGGTTTTCATCTCAACATTCACACTTTACCCTGTAGTATAACGCTGATAAAGTATGAAGTAACAATATGTCACTTGACAAATGCATTACACTAACTAATTTCACTTTAACTAATCAATAATATCTAAGTGTTACCATTAATTTGCAATACGCATTGGTTTTGAACCTGAAGTATGCACTTGCACAGCGGTGATCGCTTTTAATATGGTTAGATAAACCACTGTTTACATAACTGTATGAACTTTTGAAATATGCTAACTGAAGTTTCAGCTTGTACTGACAGAAACAGAATAGTTATGAATTGCCAAGGTTTATTTCATCGTGGAAGCTGTTTCAGGCTTATATGTAGAACAGGTGTACAGATTCAAATTTTGTAAGGGTGTATAAAGTTCCTCAATACTGAAAATGTACCTGGACGATAGGTGTCAACAAGCTGTCGGTGCTACTCTAAAGTTAATTACCTGCCAACTTTAAATGTCAAACGCGAATTAAAGCGTAAAAAAAGTCGTATCATCCAGTTTATTGATGACTAGTTTGTGAAGTTCATCCGTAGGATAGTTGGTTGCTTTAGACAATATCCCTCCTCATTTAGTTGGTAGAGACTTTGTTACCAACATTGTTTTTATCCGATAGTTCTTTCGAAATTCTTTTCTTACTTTCATTTTCGAGAAGAGATGGAATTTACTTCTGATTTGGGCCATGGTATGAACGACTATCTTATGAGTAGGCATAATATTCTTCATGCTACTCATTTTTTAAGACCGATCGAACAGTCTTTCTAATGCTATTACTGGACTGGATCTAAAGGCTTAATTATAACTATTTGGTGCCTTTTGGTGGAAGAGCACTTATTTTCTATAGTGGAACATTTACATTTACATTTAATTATTTTGAGTATACGGAACAGGTATTCGGTGCAGTTGTAGTCTCAACATTTATCACTGTTTAATTTGTTGTCTACTGATTTTAAAACTGCAGATTTTCATATCTAAAGTATTTTCATTTACAGTGATTTCATTTTTCCACAGTGCTCGATATTCGGTGTTTGTGAACAATGATCACTATGCTAGTTCACGTTCAGAACACATTCAAAATAATTAAATAAAAAACATTTTGGATCCAATTTTCATGCTGTTGTAAGGAAAGGATGAACCACCCTAGTATACTTACGATTCTTATCTTTTACTCTCCTTCATGTATGAATATGAGAGTTCTTTACCACACAGTTTATCGTATTTATAAAATTTAACACATTTTTGTGCATTCACAGTTAATTCCGCCGAGGGCAAAGGACAACTCCGTAGAAGCTGTTATGATTTACTACAAAAAATTAGCTGTAGCTGGCGTTACATTATTTTTGGCATTTATTATGCTCCAGTTTTGTTTAATTCTTGCTCAGTTAAAACGAGGAAATTATTTTAGAAGAAATGTAAGTTGTGTTACGTGTTTAGGTTCATTTTTCAGAAATGCTTTTAATTAAAATAGTTCACAAATAAACCATGTAAACTTCAAAATTGTTAACATAGTCACCATTAAGTAGTTTTGATGCTCAGTCTTTTATTCTCCAGCGCTGATTTCTATATCAGTTGAAGATATAGCAATAAACTATCCAGTGCAGAATCATCGATACTATCAAAGATTATGTATCCGGGAAGGAAAAGACGATCATCAAACCTCAGAAGTAGTTCAAGTGTTTCAGGTCGCTAGACCAAGCAACATGACCAAAAACGAAAATGGGATATGCTTAAATAGAAAAGATAATTAAATGAGAATTAAGACCGCTCATATAATTCGGACAAATGTGTTAGCACTAATGTGCTTCATCCTTATGATGCAAGACGCATGGCTTGCTTCGAAGTCTCAAATCAGTAAATACTATTTCTTCTTTTTGAACATGATCCCATTTCACGACACACTGAATATCCGGGTAGGTTGTGGTTTGATATATTTCGTATGTGTTAACCCAACTCATATGAGTAATATGACAAAAAACAGTTGTGAGTAGTTAACTGGACCATTAGCTCTTGTAAGTTCTGTCGATGCGTAAACACTGAGTGCTGAGGGGTCTCATACTGGGACGAAACAACTTTTACGTTCTCCTGACTTTTCTGTGGTTATCCAACTAATTTCAGTCTGCGATGAATGCCAACTTGAAATATCTGATAAAGTTTCATTCAATATCTGAGTTATTTTTATCGTTTAGCGTTTTAGAATCTTTTAAATTTTATTCCATTTCATTGTAACAGATTAGGAAACTTTTGGGTGCATTAAATGTTCCTTTGGGTATGCTGTTGATAACTGGATTAGAGAGAGTATTTTTCAGGGGTTATAATTTACCAACTGTAAATATACCTCCATCGGATCAAGTGAACGCCTCAACGTGGTTGAACTCACCTGATTTTTCAAGATTGCTAGATTACAGCAAAGCTCCGTCTACACTTATTCATGGAACTGCAGCGGCTATTGGAATAGCATTAGCAATAATCATTTTCACGGAAGCAGCTTTAAATGGGTAGGTTCTTTACCAGTAGGTAACCTTACCAATTAAATAGAATTCACTATTTGGAATAAATGATGTTTTCAATGTTAGTAAACCACAGGTGCACGATTGTAGATAATGCACTATATAATATTATATAATGACTAATTTGATGAGCATAAGTTGTATACTGTGTTGAAGTGGAATTTCACTGCTGCTTCGACGAACTTCAGTGCGCTTTTCCTCGTGGGTAGTTCAACAACTTTTTTTTTCATGAAATCAACACGGATTGCAGACGTTTACTGAAAAATAACTCGGCAGAAATACAATGAGACACCTTACGTCCTGCGCTTGAAGCCAACCATCCTCCATAGAAAAGCCAATGGACATCCTTTTATCAAAGCTCCTGTTGTCGTCAAATAACTTGTTGCGATGAAATTGAAGTAGACAGAAGTGTCTTGTAACTTGATTTTCGTATTATAAGATATTATCTCATTTACCAGATCCCACAAGCAGCCGTAAGAGTGCGTAACTAATTAAATCCCTAAACGTTCTGATAACTTGTATCCATCGATATTTACTTATTCTTTCAAAGTTTCAAATTTTATATGGATAGAACACAATAAATATGTTAGACGGTTAGAGTCTCAATGAAGAATCTCTAAGCAAGTGATCGGTAAAACAGTATGGTTTAGATAATCCGAACTAAAGATGGTCCTTTGAAATAGACCAGTGATTAAATATCCAGTGAGATAGAAAATAGCTGAAGAAAGTTGAAACCGCATGGTCTAGTTGCTGAACAGAGATGGAACTTAGAAGAGTATTCTTTGTTGCTTAAACTTCTTTCTTCAAAGCAGTCTATAATCAAACGATCCATGGCGAGTTCCAAGAGAGACTGCTGAAGCTGATGCTTTCATCTAGTTTAATTGCTGATCAGAACCACTGCAAACAAAATGTTTTGCTACCGTGTCTTGTCTACATCATTTTTCACTGAGTTCAGTAATTCTAAAGAAAGAGTCTGTCTTACAGTAATGGTAAAATCTGCAACGTTTTTTGATTTAAAATATTTTAAGGTGGTATTCAAAGACACAAAAAAAGTGAGGATGATGTATAGATGGTTGAAAGCAAACTGATCTGTTAGCATAGCGTTCACGTCACATTTCTAAAATACGTGGTTATAAGAACCCACTGTGTCTAAGATTGAAAAAGGCGTAGAACGTCCATGATCTTCAGATAGACTACATAAGACATTCTTGAAGATATTACTTTCATTTCAGAAAGAAGTTGAGACTTTACTTCTTGTACGCTTTGTTTAAATATTCAACCAATAAATGTAAAACTTGGGCACTGTAGTAGAATGTATTTCCCTATTAGATTTGCTTATTTGATTTTTAACACACAGTGTTACAGTATTATTTACTCGATGACATTCAGGAGATAAATTATAACTCATAATCATATCAGTGTTGGTAGTTACATTTTTCATGTCTCTGGTATAACTATTGTAATAGGGATGATGCAACACCTGTACCAGAGATATGGAAAATTTTACTACCAATAGAAACAAATAATATGAGGTCACAAGACTACAAAAATCAGGTATCTAAAGTAGTGTGACTACATTAATATGATTATGAGCAATAATTTATGCTCGAAACATCATCAAAGAAATACTACTGAACCATTGTGTATTATGCATCCAGTAAGTAAATCTTATATGAAATATTTAGTTAGTTGTTTATTTTCAAAAATATCCTCTTTAGATATCTATTTGATATCAGGTATAGATATTTTTGAATCCACTTAGTTTTTACATTTTTATACCAGATTTCTACTGAGTGAGTGCAAAGCAGGCGGAATCAAATATTACTACAGAAGTTCATCACCAGTGAGTAACTGAAATAACTGTCTAGTCCTCAACACTGACTGATGTCTATCGATCATACAGCCACTAAGCTACCTACAACGATTCTGAGGTGTCGTGTACTTTTGCTCTCGGGGTTCGGAGTAATACAGGTTTGTCTCACTTGATGAACACTAGACTCTTATTACTTTTAGATACGCCTTGCTGATGGATGCGAACAAGCACGACACCAAGGTCCATAAGTTCCTGCTAATAGATTTCTAAAACCGTAGGTAAAACTTATTGACCAGCTGTACTGACTGATTTTGCCAAATGAATAACATTTCAAAGCGTACAAGTTTGAGTTACAAATGCCTTCGACGAACCCTGTTACGTCTCTAAATTCAGTTTCTTATTTAAACTAGATGTGTTACCCCTAATCTTACTTGTTGTATCTAACATCCTCTGATAGTTTAGTGATGAGACAACTGAGGGCCCTGCCAAATGTTTCAGTTGGAATTCTTATAAACATTTTTGTGCTCTTTTAAAATGATTTCTTTCATCCTCATTGCTGGTAGCTACCCTTCTATATCTTCAAAAATTTGTTTTAAGTTTAAATTTTCTCTCCACTAGTCTCTGTATCTTTCGATCCCTTTTTATTGGTGTTTGCATGTGTACAGCGGATTTAGCGAAGAATGGTTTATCGATGAACCATTAGACGAGACATATGTCGACCATCCATCCATCCAGATCATCCTAGGACCAGACATCACTGCGTAACGGTTCGAGTTGCCCACCTCATATCAGTACATCAAGTAAAAAGGCAGTCAGGTGCAAGATCAAGATAAGAGAATTTAGTCAAAAGAAATATAAAGTACGAAAAGGGAGAAAAGAAGAATGAGAAAGTGGCGACATTCAGTATGGCGTCGTTAAGATGAGGATAATGCGTGTATAAATCTGTGCCACTGACGTCGGTTCTGAGCCATATCACCTAGAGTCTTCAATCACTGGTTCCTTTTGTCCCGCGGACCCCAACCACCTAGTCTGCATCGCCCCACATGGCTCAAACCAGCAGTCAAAGACTTCATACATTGATGCCATGTTTAGTTCTGATCGCCTGGAGCCTTTTTTCAGCTTGAACCTACATCAGCCAACATTGTGTGATGAGGCAGACGGCAACTAGACATACGTAGTACGTGTCCCAACCATCTCAGTCAATGATGGTTCGCAACCGTGTCAACTGACTTACCTCTACTCCCTAAAACTCTACACCCGACGTCTGTGTTACTCACGTGGTGACACCACGGAATACGGCGGCCTATACCAAGAAGGAAACGGTGGTCAAACACCTGAGGCCTTCTCATATCTTCCACCTTTAATGGTCATGTTTCACAGCCATTCAGTAGGACAGAGCGGACTGCTGTGCAGTAAACACGACCCTTAATAGACAATTGGATATCACGGCGGCACTACAGGTGGGGTAAGTTGACAAAAAGCCAATCGAGCCTTTTGTACCCGTGCAGTGATTTCATCGGCCACTGACCCACCAGGGTTGATCCTGCTTCCCAGTTATGTGAAGTGACCAACGCACTCAACCACTTCACTCTCTATTGTTAGCCATGGTACCGTTAAAGAGCGATCCTGGAGCAGCAATTTGCATTTGGGTGGTGAAAAGGAATCCCAAACATTCTCAAATTGCCACTCAAAGTGTTCAGAGGACTCTGCATCTCGTCAGCGTCTTCACCTAACAGGATAATGTCATCTGCATATTCTAGGTCTGACGAAAATCCTCCTGCGATTGGGTCAACCTCTGTGTAATCCGGTGATGAGAGAGACCTCCATGAGAATATCTATGGTAAAATTGAATAAGAATGGAGAGAGTTGGCACCCTTGACGAACACCACTTGATGAGTATAGCTGATCTGAGATCTTTGAATAGGCTCTAACACCCCCACAAGTGTTCGAGTAGAGAGCCTTCAATTAAGTGATGTATCTACTCGGCACGCCTTTGACTGGGAGACATTTCCATAAGACTTCTCGATCAACGGAGTTGAGAAATACAGCCAGTATCAGGTGCTGGTAAGCGTGTCTGTGTTCCAAAACCTGGTGCAGTGTGAATACTAGGTCGATACATCCGCAGCCAGGTCTAAAGCCTGCTTGGGTTTTTCGGGCTTGTTATTCCCGAGCTCTACTCAGGCGTCAAAGAATCATAGAACCTGGACTCTTAGACACTATGTTCGTCAGGCTGATTCCTCTGTAGTTATCGCAAGAGAACTCGCATTTCTTGAAGACCGGGATAATCAGTGACTTAGACCAATCAGAGGGGATAGTATTTGATTCACACACACTAGTTAATACTCCCGTTAACCTGACTAAGATCACTCTGCCACCATCCTGCATACCTCAGAAGTTAGTCCATCTGATCCTGCTAACCCTTCCTCATTTCAACTCACTCACAGCTTTCTCGACATCTGCAAGTGTTGGAGGGGAGAGTGGTGGCATATCTCAATATTCCATTCAGGATCCGACTGGATAAAGGACGATGCACTAGTGACTGGAGATCAGTTAAACTGTTCCACCCATCGTTCTAGTCATTTCCCCTGCGAGTGAATCACAGGTCCGTCCTTCTCCGCCATGGTCTCATTAACCGCAGTCTACCTTTTTCCGCCAATTTCCTTAATAAGTCTAAATAACTGTCCACCGTTACCAATCGCCACCGTCTTTTCCATCTCTTTAGCCTTTTCTGCCCACCACTGTTCGTGGTCGTTGCGTAGACTTTTTCTCAGTCTACTTTTAAGATGTGCCAGCTATTCATTGTACTCGGGGCCTGCATGGATGCGTTCACGTGCATCCATTAGTTCGGAAGAAGCTGTTGATATCCAGTAGCTCTTTTAAGCCACTCTTTCGGGGTCGGCTACGCTCTTCAGCGCTGCTTTAACGGCAAACTGGAGATGGCACCAAACTTTTTCTGGATGAGTGATAGTCTTTTGTTCCGATGAATACCTAGCCAACTTCTCACTGAACATGGTTTTGGTGTTTTTGTTGTCCAGCGGCACTTGTAGTGGTTTTGTTGCCTAATTTTTCCTTTGTCCATTGAGACGCAGACATATACGCGCTAGGACCAACGAGTGGTCGCTATCCAAAAACCTACTCCAGAAGGAGCGACAGTCTTCCACCGACCCCCTCCGGTGATGACTAATAGCAATGTGGTCTATCTGTGTCCATCGCTGAGTTGAGCTCGGTGGACACCACATCAGACGGTGTCTTTTCTTATATCTGAAATTTGTGCTAGCTAAAATAGGCAAATATCTGAGCACAGATGTAGTAGGCAGTCATCGTTATCTGTTCGTTCAGCGGGACTCCGAAAGTGCCATCTAAGCGCCTTTCTGTCTCACTCAGTCTACCCACCTGTTCAATGAAGTCACCTGCAACAACCACTATGTCCGAACGTTTGGCTTTCGAGAAGAGGTTAAACAGTTTACGGTAGAACTCGTCCTTCACTTCATCCGAACTACAGTGAGTGGGTGCGTAAACAGAGATTACAAAGAGACAACGGCGAGTCTCACTGTTCTTTTTGGTTCTCACCGTGCCGTTCAGCTGCATGGCTTAGAGGTGACAATCAACTGGAATCCAGTCAAGTAGTGAGTTTCCTGCCCTAGCGCTTAGTGCTGTGCCTACACCTGCAAGACGCCGAGAGCTAGCTATCGAATCTCCAGAAACTCGAAGGGTGAATTTCGCGGATTCACCAGATTGGTCAGGAGAGGTCAGGTGAATAACCACACTTGGGTCCTGTATGCATGTCTCACAAACACAGCACACATCCATGCCCCGGTTTACTAGAGTCTTTGCTAACGAAGCCTGTTGACCAATTTGATGGAGGTTGCGGACATTAAAGGCTCTAATATGTAATCTGGAGCATGGTTTAAGGAGACCAAGGATGCTGTTCTGTGGACTCAGATCATTGTCAAAGGCTGCAGAGCTAGGAGAAATTGAAGATGATGTAGTGACGTTAGTTGGGAGACATGAAGGAAGATTAGAAGGTAATGATGGGGAAGGTGGATAGCAGTCTGAGGAAGCTTGAGTGTTGATTGAGTTATGAAAGCAGTTGACACTTCCCGGCTGCCCACATCGTGGAAGGCTATTTCTTGTTAAGGTATCTGAAAGAGATTTGCGTGACCACAGAGCCCATCGGACATCTGCTTGAGGCCTGTCACACGTAGCCTCTTGAGTTTGATCTTTTTGAACTTTTGTATTTTTGGGGTCGGCTGATCGAAAAGAAACGACAAATGAACCATCACCTCGTGCCTGGCAGACTGTGGGGTGTTGTGGAGTGTGTTATTTTTGGGGCCAACTTTTCTAACCCCCCTTCACTGAGAAGGCAGCGTCAGCATGGCACTGGTGGTCATCCAAGGGAAATACCTTACTGCTGTCTCACCCCATTCAGCTAACAGCAGTACGACTTCCCCCTCAAACCCCCATCATAGTGTAGTAATTTACACCACAACGGTAACTGCTTTTCGTCTAACCACTGTCGAAAAGACGTTTCTGGTATGGTAGGACCTCGAGGGAACAAGTGTTCCACCAACATTGCTGGTTGGGTCATTGTGATGTACAAGCCCGAGCACCACTTCAAGGTGGCAGCTATCGGTCAGGAAGTAAAGATTGGTTTCTTCAGGTTATTTGAAGATTATACTCACTTAACTTTATTTTGTTTGTATAATTTGCTTCTTCTAGTGTAAAGTGAACAGGTTTGCGAGTTACAACAGTTGAGGTGGGCTTTCGTGATTAAGTTCCGATTTTAAAACACGTTAGCTGTAATTAACTGCAAAAAGAAATAGATTTTGGATCACAACTAATGCTTCTGGTGGTTAAGATGCTGTTTTCCGATGAAAAGGTTGAAAAAAATCATGAGGATGACTAGGAAAATTAGGCTGGTAAAAAACTTTTTGTTAGACTAGCATGCATCATAGACTGACATCAGCTAGAAAGCCACTGAAAACGTAGGACTAAGCATTACGTACCATGGTCCCATGAGAGACTGAACTCAGAACCGTGAGATCTCGTTACAAGTAGGCTGGCATTCATCCTTTGAGTTGGAAATTAATGGACTAATTTCCCAACTTCTGCGAACTCGTGATAAACACAATCATCATACAAGGCTGTCGGTGAATGTTTGTCCTTGTCTTCTTTGACTCTACAGGTCATGGTTTATTGATATAACTTCGGCAAAATTCTCTCGAGGTGTGTCACTAATAAACACTAGACAGTAATTTAAATAAGGAGTTTGTGTGAATTACTTGGTGTCGACGTACTGTTTATCATGAACTGGTCTAGGCTCGACCCCTGGCGGGTTTTCGGTAAGTACTGCTGAGAGGTCTCATAAAACAACGAAGCAGCTGTTCTATTATGGGACTCCTCAATAATGCGTATTGATGACTCAGCACGAAACTAGGGCCTTGAGCATCGAGTCTCGCGGTAGGAACCATTCAGTCATTAGATTGGAATCTAGTGATCCACTATTTCATACATGTTTCAATTCGCGATAAAGGGTTACGGCTATCTGTTGCCATCTATTAAATATCTTCCCTCCTGACTTGCTTTACGTTAAATGAAGTGAATACTCCATAAGATTTCAAAGGTGCATATCTGTGTAAGTCACTGAGAAGTATTTCATTTGATGGTCTGTAAGCTGTCATAAGTGTTCACTTCAGAGTGGTACCACACTGGGTCAGAACAGCTATCCACTAAATGCAGTTTTCCGTTGACTGTTCAACTGATAACAGTCCATACTGAAAACTCCTTTGTGAGCAATGATATCTTGCAAATATTTAACTAAAAGACAGACAGACATATCTTAAGTTTCTTTTTAAAATAATCGTCTATATTCACATAACACTTATAAAAGAAACAGAATGAATTTATCGTATTCAAGTGCTTTTCCCATAAAATATTAGAAAAGTGTGAAATTAGTGACAGTTAGTTGTACATTTATGAAGTTACGATGGTCTAGTCAGTAACAGTATACAATCTATTATTTTGAATAATCCTAGCTACATCTGATTTATACTTGCGAGTTTATGGAAAACTGAATGGAATATGTTTTAGTCAGTTTTAATCACACTTGGCGTTACAGCTACATTTTATATCTGACTCAAAAATATATTCATACAATTCCAGCGTTAAATATTATAAATTGCGTCTTAATTAACATCAGTTTATGTACATGAATGTTGATTGGTTTCCTGTAGGCAATCAATATCTTCTTTCAGCTTAAGATTGCATGAGAAATACCCTTTTCTACTGTGTTTGCTAATTATTGATTAAATAAGGGAAATTCTAAGGATTTTGAAAGCTCTACGGCCTCCGTAAACATCTGTGTGAATAAATTAATTTAGAATTTTTACTGTGTTATAAAATATTTTTATTTCTATAATAAATGATTATACACCTAGGCTGAAATCATTTACTTAAGGAATAGGATGCTAGACAATTTAAATTTCACATATATGTTTAAACAATGATTTACAAAAGTTTAAATCCTGCCTATTATACTATTTCTTTTGTTACATGTTTATTTTCTTTGAAGTTTAACTGCAATGAAAAATAAGGCTGCAAAACCTAATATCTTTGTAATGGATTTGATTTTGTTGCAAATAACGTTTCCGATTATTAGTGGAATAACTGGGTGGCCTTTTATGTCTGGAACAACAGTAAGAACACTAAGTAATCTTGTTGCATTAGTTAAAATGGATCAAAGTCCTGCACCTGGTATGCCTCATAAGTAAGTTAAACATGTTTAATCTTAATTAATGATTTCTTTGTTTCAATGAAATAGAATATTCAGTTTTTCACTTCTACCGACTGCCACAGTGATAAGAATTGCAAGGTAAAAATCCTTAATATGATAACTAACTGCAATCGCGTTTGAATTTTCCAGTAATGGCTAAATGCCATGACTATATCTTTGAAGGTAAAGACTTTCAATCACTAGCACATTCTTTTTATGTCTTGCATAATCTTCGTTTGAAGTATTAAATCAACTAAAAAGCGTTTATAATGAATCGAAAACACACGAGTCAGATATATAGTATCACTGCCTTATAAGAAGAAGTATACTTATCAATAGTTCAGTAGCTAAAATCCCTGATATGTTTGGGTTCAGTTTGCATTCCATGAAACAAGTTGGGATAACTGAGGTGAATCAAGAAAATCATTAGCCCAACAACCGTATTACTTCAAAGGTGTCATCAAATTGAACTATGGTGAAATCCTTAGGTACAATTGTCAACAAAGGACCAGTGATCATATTTAAGTTATAGCAAATAAAAATGTTGAAATTCGCTAGGTGAACTGTAGTTTTTAAGCACGTAACTTCGTTGGTTCTAACTTCATGAGAACTCATTCATCATATCACGAAGCACAAAAAATTGTAGGGTCAGCTGAATTCATTGTGTTTTGCGCTGTAAATCCTCAAAATGTGAGACAATTTTTAAATTTTATTACAGCCCATGAATATTGTTTTAGAGTCAAATTTAGTTCAATTTTAAATTGTATTTACGTCTTGAAATCAGTTTTATGTGATAAGTTTATGGGGTGCAACACTAAAAGGCTCCGGTGTTTAATGTTGTTTTTGTTTGACTGATAAACACAAAAGCCTTTTTGAAGTGAGAATATTATGGGTTTACAGGATAGCTAACTGTGACCTGAGTAAGAATAGTTATTAAACCTTAAGAAATGATAGCGTTCTTAGTTTAAACATTAGTGGGACAACAAAGGAAGAACAATCGTTCGGTGAAAAAATTTCTGTATGACTGTATTAGTCCTTAGTAAATTAGTGATGTGACAGAATCTTCTCCCTCAGATGCACAATAGTCAGGAAGCATATCTGCTCTTTTTCGTTCAAACCGTGAGTGCAATTCTCCATTCTTGTTTTAGTACAAGCATTTCAAGTAATTCGTTCCACTCGTCATCGTGTAGTACTGAACAGTCACTCAGCTTGTTACAGTCTTTATTACAGTTATGCAGATAAGACAAACAGAAGATACTCTTGTTTGGCATGATAGACAGATATACAAGGTTTTGAGTTGACAGAAGATATTTGTAGCTCAGGAAGATGATTTTTGTGGAGTTGCGTCCTCTGAGGTAGATAGTTTAATGGTGAAGCTTTCATTGTCATTCTAGACAACATCATCTGCACAAACTTCAAAAAACAAGCAGTTATTCAAAGATTGGAAACTGTAATATAGGCAGTAATCGAACCAAAGCTTCGGGTTCGATATATACTAGACACGTTTGTCATCACGGAGAGAAATTGAAAAACGTTCAGAAACTAATCTATAACATTTTCGACGACATTGATATTCACAAGTGAAGAGGAGCCAAATAACAAACTCGCATTCTTAGATATTCTGATCCATGGGACGGATTCAGGAAAATTGGAAACCGAAATATGCAGAAAACCAACTTATATGGATCAAATCTTCAACTACAGTAGCAACAATCCAACTGCTCATGAGGTCAGCTGCATAAAAGAACTGTTAAAAACAGTGACAACACACTTTAGTACGTCAATCGTGTTCAGAGGAGAAGAAAACTATTTAGTGACTGTTTTCCAAAAGAACGCCTATCCATGACACTTCATCAAAAGATGTTTGGGTAATTCGTCGTTAACGAAGAAGTCAGTCTCGAATAACAATAAACGGATTGTCTTACTCTATATGAAGAACGTCTCTGAGATCACGACTAGATTATTGAAGCACTTTGAAACCGCTGATCCCACAAACCCACGAAATCTCTTCAGCCTATATTATGCAAGCCAAAACGTACATAAGCAAAAGAAAGACGACCAAACATTATCTACAAAGTAATCTTCAGAAACTGCGAAAAACATTACATTGGACTGAGTGATCGCCCTCTTCGCATGAACATCAACCAGCAATGAAGCTTCATGACACACTTTCACTCATATCAACGTTTACAGACAATTGCGGACACGAATTTGATTTGGAGAAAGTGAAAATCCTGGTTAAAGGAAATATAAAGAATGCCAGGGAACTTTTAGAGGCTTGACTTTCATGTAAGTCTACAATCAGCAGACATATTGACATCGATCCAATCCATTAAACAATGAAGAAACAGCGGCAAGGTCAAATTTCACATCATCAAGATAACCAATCCCAATAAACATGGAGACGGTGACAAGATCTTTGCTGAAACAATCAATCACACATAAGGCTATTAGGACAAGCTACTAAATAAATTGCACAGAAAACCTTTTTTTGAAATTTGTGCCGATGTAATTGTCTAAAATGACAACGAAAGATTCATGACTAGAGAAACCAGCTCAGAGAACACAACACTATCAAAAGCTAGGCAGGTTGATAAACTGCACTGAAATTTTCCCTCATACTCCACTAGCAGAATGAAAGGTAAAGGCCTATATTGTTAATTAGAATTTTTCACACACATAATACTTGCTAGTAGGTGACAGTATTTAAAGCTTTTCTTTTAGGACTTTTTTCCTTAGCAATATCCTATGAAATGCTGGTCAGTTCATCAATTTTCCTTTTCACTTCACAATTACTTTGCCAATAAAAACAGAAACCACCTAGTTTAACAATATCTGTCCAATGCATTACTCAATATTATCTCTATGCGCACTATACTAGCTAATCAGTTCATTTTGGGCAAATGTTATTGGGACTGAAGAAAATGTAAGGTGCATTTAGATTCCAGCACAAGTTAAAGATACCTATGCTGTTTTGGCCGCAAAATAATAAGAATGTGTCACATAGGGATCTCCATATTTGAGGGGAAATCATCTTTGTATTAATTCTATTGAAATGTTTCAAAAAGGTTAATAAATACTGTAAAAACATGACTGTTAGGATTTTGACTATCCTCCCAAACATTTGTACTTTTGTTTTATAAGTAAACACTAATAAATGTTTTAAATGACAACAGAATTTTAACCATTCTTTGTTTGCATCATACCACAGAATTATTGGAACCGTAGAACAACGGGTCAGCGGTGTATTTGTTGGACTTCTTGTTGCACTTTCAATTTTCCTTGGATCTATATTGAGTTTTATCCCCCTGGCTGCACTCTATGGCATGTTCCTGTATATGGGTGTAATGGGTTTACGAGATTTACAGTTCGTTCTGAGAATATGCTCTTTGATGAAACGCCGGAAACATTGGGAAGATTGGGAATGTGTACGAGGGTTGCCTAGCCGACACATACTTGTTTTCTCACTTATTCAAGCTGCAGTTGTCCTGATACTAGTTATTCTGAATATATTATCTGATTTTACTTCATCTAATTATGTTGGTATTGTCTTTCCAATTGTAATTCTTTCTTATGGTCTTATTCGTGAATTCGCTCTACCGCGGTGGAAATGGTTGGCGTTATATCTTCATCAGGTAAGCTGATATTTTACTCGATATCTTATATCGCAAAATACAGTTTTTATAAAGAATAATGTCATATCCTTTATGTAGGACATGCATGTTGCCTCCATTTTTTTTATCTGTAGGTTATTCTGTGTTAGTAACATTCTTGGATATTTCTAGGAAATACTCCTTACTCTTATTTGTGAAGTTTAGGTGAACTTTAAACTGGCTTGTTTTATTCAGTTATGTAAGTTTTTAATGGTCTTCTGTCTCACAACCTCCATGTCGAAATATTCTCGATTTCTCCGACCTGTGAGATGACAAAATAGGAGACTGTAAGTTCCTGAAGAACGCTAATGACGAATATCAGATGTAAGTTGGTGAAATACTTTGCGTCATTCTTTTCGGTCTGTAAGCATTTTGATGATGTTTGCCCACAACTAAGAAGACAACGATAAAAAATTGAAATAAGTAGGTCAGAAAGGGCAGGTAATCAAAAGAAGAGAACGTTTTGTTCTCCAGTTGACTTGCTTGACCAACAGTTTTGAGTTCAATGCAAAATATTTTTCACATTTGTCTTATTGTTAGTGGTAATTGTCTTGGTAAAATGGAATAGGAAAAGCGAAGGATAGCATTTATTTGAATATGAGAAGTTTATTATTGACTCATGTGTCTCAATAGGAAAGCCTAGGTAAACCTAGATAATATGCCAATGTTCATCATCAAAGTCTTAAATTTAGGTTTTAACGATAAAAATACGCTTCCTTACATCGTGTGAGTGGATATGTTTGTTGTGGGGAGAGCAGCATTTCTAACGGTATTTAAAAATATACTATGTATTCATGCAACTGTAAAAATCACCATTAGTTCTCTTGAATTTAAACTTTTTAAAGGAATAATACTGTATTTAACGGGCCGGTTATGTACATTGGTTGGTCAGTAGGGGGCCAATCAACTTCATGTTGTCTAGTCCGGAATGCTGACTGAATTCTGTCGATTATTTTGCAATATAGTCACCAAGCTAGAAAGCTGACCATCATATTCCATTTTGATGGATGGAATCAGCAGGAAGCATAGATCTAGGTGTAATGCTTTTTGACACTCTCCAGCAATGAGTATTTGCAACCTTGAGGTAACTGATGTCCCCTCTCAGTTCAAACTTTTGTCACCCAGTGTTACCACTGAGCTATTCGGGGCGCAATCGACATCTTGCAGGACTGGATTAAATGTATTGATTTTTTGCGGATACGTTTTGCTGGCCAGCGACGGTAAGTACAAAACCTAGTTCCAGGGCTTCTGCCCGATTCTCTCCAACCAACTTACATTTAGGTTTATTATGTATTCCTATGCACACATTATTGAGTTGCACTGCTTTAATTTTTGTAAAATTCAAAGTTAGGTTGTGTAACTATTTGTAATTTTTTAGTCACTAGTGGGTAACCGATACGGTTATCGACTTCTCATGATCACAAGTATATATATATATATATATATATATATATATATATATATATAGCATGAAGTAAATCCATAACACAGGGCTAAGGGAAGAAAAATACTTCCAACTTTCGTTCTTTCTTAATACTTGGCTGGACGTGACGGAAATTTTTTTCATGCTTTTTCATATCTGTTATTGCATGTGATGAATAAGGCTACATTGGTTGCTTAAAGGTTATTAAATCTCACCAAACTGTTTTCATGTATGCCTTGTATCATGACAATATAATTAAATCTGAAGCCTCAAGTGAAGAACCGATACTTTTCTAAATCTCTAGCTAATTGTATCCTTCTCCGTTTGGTAATTTGTGGGCAGATGATTTAAAGGTGAATTTTATGACGCAATGACTCTGAGTATATTCATTACTGCAATATATTTCAAATCTGGTGTAGGAATTACAGCAGGAGATGGAAACAAATAGTAATTCTCTTGTGAGTTTTTAATGACGAAGGATGGAATACCATTTATCCCTAATTTTGTTACAATAACGGCTCTATTCTGTGGTGTTTAATTGGGGTTCAACTATTCTTGTAAAAGAATGGCAGATTTAAGAATCCTATATTATCTCAACTTTCAAAATTTTGACGTTTCACTTATTTATCCTTTCATACACTATTGTCTGCTGCAATATAATCCTTTTTTTGACTCATCTCATCTTCTGGCAGCATGAAAGAGTGCACCTTGGCCTAAGGTTCCGTGTTGATTTTTCTCTATTTTCCCCTGTCGTGTATTCATACTTTATGCACATACAAAAGGGAAAGAATTCTGTATTAATACAATGGTTGCAAACACATTTTATATGGTCTCAATGAAACCTCATTTTTTCCTTATCAAGACAAAAGATTTCTGTTTGATGCGAGAAATACCTTTATACCACATGACTGATGTATCACTGGAATATTATAGAAGCGGGTGGTTTTATTTGTTTAGGTTAACCTTATATTACTTTGAACACAAATGGCAGCTACTGTTGATCATAGGACATTTAAATTTTACGTAACGTTTCATTCCATATAATTCGAAGTTTTTGTACTCCAGAAACTACTGTTATTTTAGGAAGTGGTCAGTAAATCTGCTGTACGTTTCATTGGTGTTCCGCTGGATATTTCTTCTGATGGGGTTTATCATAAGGTGGGAAATCAGAAGAGTAACTGAAATTCATTATATTCTTAATCACCAATTAATTAGTCAGTATAATTCTTGACGTGTAATTAGAGAGACACATTTAAATATAGTCCCGTCCGCTTTTTGTCCTAATATGCATTTGAATATTTCATTCACTTCCGTATATCTCATCACTTGTCTTTCCACACTTATTTATTAGTCAGCCATTCATCTAACTCATTATTATATACTCCAAGACATCTCGATCGAAGTTTGTATCATGTCAGCCTAACTTAGCTATGAACAGTAAATTATGTTCAAGAAATAAAAAGGAATTATGCACTGCTAGATTACCCAAGTTTTCTCCTCATATAAACGTTTTACAACTTCCTTAATCTTTTTAAAATGATGTAACAAATTCGGGCTATGTATCACTTCCTATATTTCCTGACCAGAAATCAGCATTCTAGTTCGACAACTAAAAGGTATTGCCTTAGTGACTATCAGTGAGAAGGCTGCTAGGTTAGTGCATCAGCCATTTGTTGACCATGGACTCGAACATCTATGGGGGTGTTAGAGACTATGGTAAAGTATCAGGTGAGTTGTGCATGTCAGGTGGTGTCCTTCTTAGATGTTAATTCACTCTATTTGTACTTAAATTTGTTATCGATTTATTTATGGAGGTTTCTCTTTCCATCTCTGATTTTACAGTAATCGTCTTTGTCATAGGATAATCTCCAGTATGCAGATGTCCTAGGCTTTTCAGATGAAAACATTGACAAGATGTAGTTTTCTGCACCGTTTCAATGTCACTTTAAGGCTACTTTGGACGAAGTTCTCACCAGCCAGATATAAACTGCTGCTGTATAGCTGGTCTTCTGTAGTCTTTTTTAGCTATACGACAAGCAGTTCACACTTTTGGAAGAAAGTATCAGATCTTCTGGGTCAGTAGTCAAGAAAATTTCTTCAGAGATGCTAAGTCCTCGATTGATTCCCACCAAATTGCGCAGCTTTTGGCACTGGCATAATTTCCAATTGTCTTTCAAGGGCCAACTGTACTCCGCTGCGGTTTTTTCTGTTTCACTATATGATTGTGATATATGGTCATCAAGGAAATGCGACATGAAAAGGCTTCAATTGTTCAACCGTCGTTGTCTTCACAGTATAGGCCGTGAGTAATGGTGTCGCCGTGTCAGAAACTTAGAAAACAGGTGAAGAGTTTTAAGAAGTTGAAAGTCATTCTATTAGATTGTGGATCGTTACTGAATGAACTGTCTGGAAGATGCGTTACAAATAAATAGTAACCATCTACCTGATCTCGTGATGTTATTCGACACTGAAAGAATAATAAAGGTGGACAGGAAAACATAGTATTAGTCAATAAGGCTTACGGTTGTTTGTTTTAAGCATAGAAAAAATTATGGACCTTTTTTAATTTACTTCCTACCAACTTATTAATGGGCATCACTGATTTAAACTAAAAACTGCTACATTTTATCACTAAGTATACATGTTGCTTGTCTGCTTATTGGTACACTCTGGGCTGCTTTCAGTTAAAATATATAATTCCTGGTTGAGGTTTGAATAACAACCAAAATCAGTGTCTGGAACTGCAGATGACGTGGATAAGGGTGGATCTCAGAGACGCAGATGCACCCAAAAATTATTTTCGTTCCGGTTGTCATACCAAACAGTCAACCTTGTTGCATTGCTTCTTGTCCTCTTTTCATGAGTTCCCACCACTTTCGATTACTTTGTTGCTTATTTCTCTTCTATTTATGTGTCTACTGCCTTGAAGTCCTGATGTAAGTTGTGCGACTTCTAGCGTGGTAATGCCAGATCCCACATTATTACTGAATGAGTGGTGAGTATTTTGCACGTATATATATATATATATATATATATATACGTTTTGCTCAATGATAAATGTTGTTCCCATGCAGACTCTAAGCCTGGACAGATCACTTCAAACGCCTAAGCGTTATCCACTAGGCCACTGGGCCATGACAGATAGCAACTATCCGTTATTATCATCAAAATTGAAAATACAGCCACTATCAGGGATCCACTCAGGAGCCCATTTGCCAACAGACACCAACCAACTCATTCCAGTCAACGACGAGATAATACAAGGAACATCATATGATGTCTAAATTCCAGCATGTCTTTATTAGCATTCATAATTAGCATTAATTTTTATGTTTATGTGTAATATTTACCTCATTCATAGACTTCTCAGTATTAGAAAGAAGTTGAAAGTCACAGAACTAGTAGGAGTGGAGCACATTTATTAAACGCCTAGTGTCACGGCTAGAAGCCAAACTGATGACTTATGTATCATAAACCAAATGTCGATTCATTCAGTTTATCTTATAGAATATAAGAATAGCAACAATAACAGAGTTGGAGACTTTGGATGATATGTGGTGTTGCATAGTATATTCGAAACTTTCTATCACTATATTATTATTATTTATTATTTGTCCCTTGGGTTCCTAATGGAACATAGGGCTTCAGTAGCACGTCTACAATGCTCTCTGTTCTCTGAAATCTTTTCAACCTGGCTCCAAAACAGCTCACAAGCTCTCATTTCCTCTTCACACGATCTCCTCCATGTCACCCTCACCTCGGAAGCCCAACTCGTCCCTTCCCGTCTGGCTTTCACTCGAGTGCCTGGCCTGATGCTTGATGTCCCCAGTCGGCCTTCTCAGTGTGTGCCCAATCCAGTCCATCTCCACTTCCTTCTGCATATTTGTTGAGCGATAGGTTTTTGATTGGTTCGTTCCCAGACTTCCTATCAATCACTATATGTTGGATGTTAACTACTAATTTTGATCATTTGCGTTATGATCTTAAATTTTGCTTCACGTTAAATAGAACACCTAGCTTTGTAAGGTACATACCGGAGGTTTGTTACTCCCATTAATTTGGTGTTAAAATCAAACGATGTGAATGGAAAAGCAGCAATAAAAAATAGAAAAAAACTATAAACCTCCACCAACTATAGTAAAAAATTTCCAATTTTATAGCACAGTTCTGTTCATTTACACCTTTTTTCTGTCATCAAATGATCCAAAGCTGACCTTTTTTAAGGTTAAAATTAGTGCCAATTTGCTAATATAACATTATTTAAATAGATTATATCCGTAAATAGTTGTTTCAAAATTTATTGAAACTATTAACCGTGTAATAAGTGTTTTCATACACTTGCGCTATAACTCTTGATACTGTTATGAAACTAACTGCAGTGACATACATGAGTTGAGCGAAAGTCGTCGAAACTTTTTCTTCCTTCTGCAGCATTAAAGTACTTTATTTTCACCTCTGGAGTAGACAACTGAGTAAATAAAGAATAAAATAAGCATCAATGGATTCTACATAATGTTTTTACACTAATGCCATTTAGTACCAGTATGTTTGATGTCTTTTCCAATGTGTAAGCTTAATATATTGCTTGTTACACTGGTTATTTGTTTCACCTCTCTAAGATTCATTTTCAGAAAGGGAAATCAAACAGTCCTCAGATTTGATTTAATTTGATTTTCAGTCCATGACAAGTTCGTTAGGCCTGTAACTTAGATTCCATGATTTTGTAGCCCATAAGTGTTGGAGTTAACATGTTAGTTTTATGTTAGCCAGTGTTTTTACAATTCAAAGCATGTAGACAGTAATGCTTATCTTATTTTTTATTGTTTTTCATTGTGTGTTTGTCTTAAGCTTGACCGAAAATATAAACTGAATCCAAGTAATATGCGTAAACCATCCTCAGCAGTACGCAATCTATCTACAGTACGTAAAGAAAGCGTTGCTAGCTTTGCATCGGGTGGCCTAACAGTTACATCACAACTGAAAGCTAATAATTTCATCGAATATATTCATGATCATGAGGCAACTTCATACTGTGACTTCAGTGAGCATGAAGATGGTGTGGTACGGCGAACCTGGGCAACATAATTCACAGCAACAATAAAATAAAATTCTATGCCTTTCTATCTGTTATTTTCGTTGCAGTTGTTTTTGTTTGTGTTTCCCATGTGGGCTCAGTATTTTCGCTGACAGTGATATTAAGAAAAAAAAATATATTTTTTAGTATTTTTCAAGTCAACACAAATTATCGATTCTTTGTTATTCTTTTTGTTAATTCTTTTCCAGACCTTAAAACGTGAATGGTTTTGCATAAATATCTGTCTCATATTTGTCTTCCTATAAAAAAAGATGATGCCCGTTGTCATCCTTGTTTAGTTAAGGTACTGCCAATTTCCTAGAGTGCACCCTGCTTATTTCTTTGTTCAGTAGACATATACTTATGTGAGACACAGATCCTTCTAAAATTATTAAAGAGAAGACTAATTATGACCGTCTGACTGCACTTAACCCTCTATATACATACATGTATGCACCACAACACATTATATACTGTACATGTACAACTAGAATTGTACAGTCTTAATGTTTCATCGTTCTTTTTTCTACTCAGTCCTTATCACACAAGAATTAAGCATTTTTGTCAACACCAAAAAAGTATTTTATACATAACTGGTTGTTTATTTTTTATTTTAGTGATATGTTATGTTCTCAATTCAGTTTTGGATAATGCCTTTTGAATTTTCATTTACTCACCATATATACTACATATATTCACTTAAAATTTCTAGCAAAAAGAGTAATAGACATTGGAAACACTAGTTGTCCCACGAGTAATATGAGTAAACCTACAGTTTGTTTGTTTTGAATTTCTTTACACTTTATTTGAAGAAACATATAATACGCATTGAAATCTACTGTTTGATTATGATAATAGTACAATTATTTTGTAATAAAATTCTCATGATTTGGTATGATCTTCACCTTTTTGGCTTAAATTTCCTTTCGCAGAAGTATCGACCAATGATGTGCAATTTTATACATGTTGAGATGTCATCTATACGAAATCAATGATATTTCTTAACTGCCTTGTTTGAAGTTGTGACACTGATAAATTTAGCAGTTAGATGCAGATTGCTAGGTGGTTGTTACACGCTGGTAAACACATATGTATAGAAATATAGTTTAAACAGAATAGCAGGACTCTACCACATTTTGCGCTTTCTCATCATTTGCGCAAAACTTGAAAATGTGTATAAGCTGTACCAATAACTTAAGGAATATCAATGCACATTTAAAACAGTAGTTATTTGAGAGAACCTTTTTAATTTTTTTAAGCTGTAAAGTTGGATATACCAGCGATTGGTTGAGTAGGTGCGCTGAAACGATATCCAGTGCAACCAAAATTTATACTACTTTTTTCAATCGAACTAGTGGTGGAATAATTTGTTAAACAGAAGTTACCAACAGCTGAGACTTCAGTATATGTGTATATCACCAACTGTTCGTACGGGGATTCTTATAAAAATCACCCCAAGAAGACTTTAGTGTTTAACACTTGTTAACGTATAATAATGTGTCTTGAAAAGGAGTCAAGTAATTAGTTTATAGCATTAATTTGTTGAAATTGAAGAATGGCGAATACGAAACTAAAATATATGGAGCCTTGCAGGTAATATACTGATTTTCAGATGAACTTCCGAAAGGCACAAAGCCACATATTTTATGCAGAGCTGGAGCTATTCAAACTACGAGTAAAAGATTATGCTTGTGTATTCTGCCTGTCTCCTTTGACCTGCGACATGGCCAACTTATATTCAGTCATCATTTATACACACTCTTGATCCACTACCCACTATTCTCCTTTACCTTCTCCTTGCGTACCCCAGTGAAACATTTCAGTGATACAGTGTATTAACTTTAATTGTCATCGTTGTACGATTGCCTTTATGTTGCAGTCACCAATTTTACATCTTATACTTACATGAAGTTTATTCTTTTTCAGTCAAATTAGTTTTATGGTAGTTTGCATGAATAATTAGCTCCATAATGGGTTTCCAAGAAGTTTATGTGTAAATATTATAATTTCATCAACTAGTTATCATGTTTGACATGTTATTAACCGAAGTGGAGGATTACGTTTCAAAATATGTGAAAGAAGAAACGGCTTATGTCAACTGGCAAAGTAGTTACATTTTGAAAAACTCATGTGAATCAAATGCAAGTTCAATGCTTTTTAAGAAAATTAATCAAGAATTATCCAGCTGACACTGAACATTTCATTCTTCAGTATGATTCCACTGTTCATTCTTCGTAAAGCCGATTGATTATTTCCCTAAGAAGGAACAAAATTAAGCTATTGAGAAGCAGACTAGTTTCCTATTGGCTCAATGTCAACCAAAGTCTACATTATATTTATCTAAATCCTAAACATTGCATGCACCGAAGCTTTGCAAAATAGCAGAAAATGTGGGCTTGATTCTTGGTGTATCAAACACTGTACTTTACTCGATTATAAAATGATGAATATATATATTTCAATGTATTTTAAGGTGAATAGGGATTTTAATAATGAAGCATTTTTCATCACGGACTGACATGAGATGGAGAGCCATTGAAAACCTGGGAGCAGTCGACAGCTGTTTCGCCCTAGTATAGGACTCCTCAGCAGTACGCACCCACGACTCAGCTAGTAGTCGAACTCAGGACCTTCAGGTTTCACCATAAAGGTGTCAACCATCTAGCCAATGGGTGGAAATTAGGTGGTTCAAAGTTTTCCACTTCAGTCAGTTCACGATATAGCGCGATTATCACCCAACGTCTTTAGTTAGCATCCGCTTTCCTTCCGACTGATTAAACCGACAGGTCATGACTTCTCATAACAACTTCAGGATATTGATCTGGAAGCCTGTCACTTGTAAGCACTATACAATAATGTATTTCCAAGAAGATAAGGGATCCCATTCTAGGACGAAACAGATTTCCAATGCTTCCAGGTTCTCAATAGTTCTCCAAATAATGCCGGTCTTAAATTAATACTACCTCAATATCTATTTTGGTTATAGTGGCATCAGCTCATTACATAAAGTGCAAATAATGCACTTGCGTTTATAAACTGCAGAAAATAAGAAATTTACACTACTAACAATGTTATATCTTGGTGTGTCACATGTTCAGACACTTATTTCCATTATTGATGAAGCTAACTAAGATAATCATGATCTGACAGACTGGTTTTACTGATATGGAATGATGATTCAAAGTGAAGACAAAACCCGCAACACATTTTTTGAGCAGCAACCTTTTGAATACTAGTCCAGTGCTTGACATTTGGCTGATAAGTTTCCAACTGCTAAAGATGCCCTGACCTTATTTACTATAACCGGTAGTTCTTCTCGTTCGTCACAGGGTTCCGTGATGCACATCTGCCCACTGTTCAAACATTTTTCTTTGTATAGTGACATACAAAAACTGTTTGTTTCATATCAGGAAGGTTTGTTAGGATTTTCTGATTGGTCTCAGATTGGAATTCACCACTGACTGACATGTGTTAGGTGAAACATTGGGAACTTCGACGTTCTGGAGAGTTATTTCATCCTACTAAGCCACTGAGTCCAAATCCAGTGGTGAATATTTCCTAGTTCTGTCAGTCCAAAATTTAGTTCAACCTCTATCCAATACAGTCGTTTAGTAACTGTTTTCAAGTCGGACTTGGCTGCTCTCACTGGTCACAACTTCTCATTCGAACTTCGGGAATCACCTCTGGAAGTAAGTCTCCAAATAAGCACGAGAACAATCCATTTTTGAGGCTAATAGGCATTCATTTATTGATTTCGTGTTAGTATTCATCATAGGCGAACATCAGTTGGGGAAACATTGGAGAGCAGCTTTGTCCCAGCATGGGACTCCTCAGAGGTGCATATGCGTAATCCCACCAGGGAGAATGAAGGGAACACAAGGAGAAAAAATGCTTTGGAACGTTCTTCATGGAAGAAACATGTTTATAGGACAATCTTACCATGAAGATGCATATCTTTATTTATATTAGCTAACACGTCTTATAACTGAACTGAAGGTTGGGCACTCAGTATTTTCCTCGATAGTTATAGTAAATGGGAAATTGTTGAAGATAACAAAACATGTCAAAGGTCACAGAGTGAAGAAAAATAAAACTTCTTTCGAGTATGCAATGATGGTAATGAAAATAATAATGAACGGTTTAATAGGGCTGATACTAAGATGAACCTTATATGCGCGGTACAAGTTTATTGATGTAATTTACAGTGAAGCTAGCCGGTTAGCTATTCCCTCTACACTAGGTCCATACAAAGTGGCTATTTTCACAGGTTTTCTAAGAGATAGAACACTGAAGGAAGTTTTTTCTTAACTTAGTTTGTATACAAGATACTTTGTTCTCATTTTGAATGAAAAATGTCAAATAAAGAAATCGTCCCGTTTGAAAAAAAAGTGAATTTCTTACATTACTTCTCAGTTTTGTCTTTAGCTATGTGGGATAACTACTTACTGAAGACGTCAGTTGGTCTAGAACCAACTTTTACCATGCAGTTCATCAAATTAAACAGTGTGATGCCCTTAACAGGAAGACGAACTTTGCTACTTAAGTTTAAGAATTTAAAAGGTATGTTTGAAAGAAGTTATTTGTGTGCAGCCTGATGCTGTTTAGGCAGCTCCTATGAATGATAATGACCAGCAAGACGTTTTTGGTAATTTACTGAATCAACGAATCGCTTCACTGTTTATTACAGCATCACGGAGTTCTGAATACAAGTTTGGAATTATCACCCAGCATATTCGAAAGTCATTTCTTCTAATTCAGAAATGAACATTTCAGGGGGCCTACACTTTCATCACTTGTGCATTGATGAAGCATAGGTTATTTATGGACAAAACTATAAATTCCACCCTCAAAAACCTTTTGTTAGATCCATTTCTGTATCTTGGTAACAACAATATTCTTTCAGATTACTTTCGTCCCATTTTCGTCTTCGTAACTATCATTGGAATCCCGGATGCGCATTTTGTTCTACTTGAGACTCTTCAGCTTGATGTACCTGCACCCCAACGAGTGT